TGACACAACTGTCTGATACATCTGTCTGACACACCTGTCTGACACACCTGTCTGATACACCTGTCTGACACACCTGTCTGATACACCTGTCTGATACACCAGTCTGATACACCTGTCTGATACACCTGTCTGATACACCTGTCTGACACAACTGTCTGATACAACTGTCTGATACACCTGTTTGACACAACTGTCTGATACACCTGTCTGACACACCAGTCTGACACACCTATCTGACACACTAGTCTGACACAACTGTTTGACACACCTGTTTGTCACAACTGTCTGTCACACCTGTCTGACACACCTGTCTGACACAACTGTCTGACACACCAGTCTGACACAACTGTTTGACACACCTGTTTGACACAACTGTCTGATACACCTGTCTGATACACATGTCTGATACACCTGTCTGATACATCTGGTTGACACACCTGTCTGATACACCTGTTGGGAGTCGGGCTGTGCAAGGTTGGTTGCGTGAACACACTCACTTGATCCCTGGTAACCTAGCAACGGTGTCACATAAACAGCTAACAACGTCAGGTGTGGTTGCGCTTATTAGCCGTGACTTTGGGCTTGTTTTTTGTAAATTCGCTTACAAATATTGGTAGTCGTGGGTTACAGTTTTTTGGGCTTGTTTCTAAAGTGGAGTTGCTTATTTGGGCTTGCTCTCTAAACATCGCCTTTCTCTCTATATATCCATCTAATAAGTTATTTAAACTCATGATAGTATGTTGGACTGCAGGATTTTTCCACAGCTCCGCTCCCTCCGGCCCTCTCCTTCTCCGCATACACACAGGTGACGGTCAGTCAATCAGACTTTTCACACTGAAATTGTGCGAATAATGGAGGTTCACCAACAAGTGGGCGAAATATGGAAAGAATACAATAAAGATTTGTAGAAAGAGAGAGGATTAAAAGATTCGACTTCAACAGGGGGGCGATTCAAAGGCAGTGTGCAGATTCAGATTCTGTGTGAAATATGTACTCATCATTCAGATCTTGTTCAGCATACCAGCACTGTTACAGTGAAAGTAAAATGGCCCGTTATATGCAACTTCTTTACTTTAATGTTCATTCATTCATTCTTTCCACCTTTTTGGTTGGCGAGTTGGTTTGGTAGAGTTCACGGGCAGTAAATATTTGTAAAGTCATTTTGGTTGCTGGTCCTGGTTGCTTGTTTCTGTCCCAGGATCTGGCAACACTGAACACAACACAGCATGGAGTGAACAGTAAGAATGAGTGCGGATAACAAGGAAAAAGTCGAGTAATAGTTTTTATACCATCTTGTCTATGTTCATTTATTTGAGTGTTTTCTAATGGTTGTGTTGACATTATCTCAAGGCAATTGAATCGAACGCAACTGGACTTGGTTTTGTCCAAGTCCAGTTGCGTTCGATTCAGTTGCCTTGAGATAACTATGACCTGGCAACACACACTGACACACAACACACACCAACGCACAACACACACCAACACACACTGACACACAACAAAACACCAACACACACTGACACACAACACACACCAACACACACCAACACACACTGACTGAGGAAACAGTCTTACCTCTGACTTAGCTGAAGACAAGCAGTCAAAGCGACTTCCTACCATCTACTCCATTCAGACAGAAACAGGCACAGAGAAAGAGACAGACCAAGACAGAGAGACAGAGACAAAGACAGAGACACAGACACAGACACAGACACGTAGACAGACAGAGACAGACACAGACAGAAAGGGACAGAGACAGACACAGACACACAGAGAGACAGACACAGACACGTAGACAGACAGAGACAGACAGGGACAGAGACAGACAGACACAGAGACAGACACAGACAGACACAGAGACAGACACAAACAGACACAGACACAGAGACAGAGACACAGAGACAGACACAGACAGACAGGGACAGATAGACCAAGACAGAGGCAGAGAGAGAGACAGACAGAGACAGAGACCAACACAGACACAGACACAGACAGACACAGACAGATAGACAGACAGAGACAGACACAGACACAGACACAGACAGAGAGACAGACGGACAAAGACAGAAAAGAAGAACAGTTTGTCTGAATGAGGAGACTTAGAAAACCAAAGCTAACAGGACAATCAGACAGACAGACGTTACTGTCCCCACAGTGTTACTGTTCCCACAGTGTCCATATTGTGTCCTCCAGAACATCCACATGTACATACAACATCAGTACTGAGGGACGTGAAACAGAAGACACTGAACTTCATTGATTACTGATTATTATTATCATTGTTATTATTATTACTATAAAACTATAAACTGTGGCAGGAGGGACAAAAAATTTCTTCTCAGTGTTCAGTCAGCCACCAGCTGGGAGGGTGGAGAGGGTGGAGGTGTAAGTGTACAGGGTTGCAACGGGTGTGGTATGGACCCAAATGCAGTACACAGGCGCTCAGGAACAGTTGGTAATGACCTTTATTTTCACCACAGCAAACAAGGTACGGAGCAGATAGAATAAACACAGAATAAAGTTCGTTCTTCGGGCTGAAAGCCCTCACACAGTCTCTGGGGCTCAGACGAGGGGAAGAGACGCGGCCGGAGTCGGCCGTGGAACCGAGGGGAAGCTCCTTAGCCCCCGGCTCCAAACAGTTCAGTTCTCTTTTGGTGTGAGGGGAAGAGAAGTAGCTTACTTCAGCCGATGACGACGAGGAGGAAGCTCCGTGGCCCGAAGAGCCGGCTGCACGTGCGGAGGTGTCGACGGGGAGAGAGCAGAGGAGTGGTCGGAGGCAGGCGGGGGGGTCGTAGCCAGATGAGCAGTCCGCGAAGGCAGAGGCACCGATGGGGAGCAGGCAGGAGGATAGACGAGGCCAGGCGGAGGAGTCGTTACCAGCCGAGCAGTCAGATACCAGAAACGCTGAGGCAGAGCACGAGGTCAGGGACAGAAGGCAGGTGAGTTTACCGGGAGGCAGACGAGGAGAGCAGGTCGGGAACAGGCAGAGTCGGCACCGGGAGATCAGACAGGAGATGAATGCTGGAAAGTCTCGCATGACGCTGAAGAACAATCTGGCAACGAGTGAGAGTGCTGGAGAGGCTTATATGCAGGGCTGATTATGATGAGCTGCAGTTGTGTAGGCAGGTGAGCAGAGTTGGGCTGATAAGGTGGGCATGGCTGGCAGGTAGAGTGGAGCAGAGGGAGGGAGAGTGGAAAATCACTGCAGCAGAGTGACAGGAGGGGAATGAGAGACAGGGACTGTGACAGAACCCCCCCCTCAAGGGACGGCCCCTGACGTCCCAAACAGTTCTAGAGGAGCCGGGTGGGTGGAGGGGGCCTGGAGGAGGACTAAAATTCTTCTGAGGCCTCCGTCCCAGCCTCCTCGTCCTCTTCAGAGACTGACCCCCCGTCTTCCTCCTCAGACCCAGATGTCTCAGATGCAAGAGGGGGCTGAGGGTCGGTGTTGTGACCTCCTCGTGCCGAGGCGATGTTGGAGGGCTGATCAGGGTGTTGGCGATGGAACTCCTCAATGAGTCGCGCATCCAGGATCTGACGGGCCGGAACCCATGACCACTCTTCCGGGCCGTACCCCTCCCAGTCGACGAGGTATTGCAGACCCCTCCCACGACAACAAGAGCGCAGCAGGCGGTGCACCGTGTAAGCAGGGGCCCCGTCAATGATGCGAGGAGGTGGAGGTGGCTGGGAGGCAGGCTGCAGGGGACTCTCCCGGAACGGCTTAATCCTGGAGACATGGAAGGTGGGATGAATCCGCATGGTGCGGGGCAGCTTGAGCCGAACAGCCACTGGGTTTACAACCTTCTCAATGGGGAATGGTCCAATAAACTTGGGAGCCAATTTCTTCGACTCCACCCTCAGAGGAAGGTCCCGGGTTGACAGCCACACTTTCTGTCCCACCTGGTAAGGGAGGGCCTGGGAGCGGCAGCGGTTGGCAGCTGTCGAATAACGATCTGTGGCCCGTAGGAGAGCGGTCCTGGCCTGTGTCCAGGTCCGGCGGCAGTGGCGGATGAAGGCCTCCACTGACGGGCAGACGGTTTCCTTCTCCTGGGCAGGAAACAGGGGAGGCTGGTAGCCATAAGCGCACTGGAATGGAGAGAGCCCAGTGGCGGAGCTGATGAGGGTATTGTGGGCGTATTCCACCCACAGCAGTTGTGTGGACCAGGAGGCAGGGTGCTTGGAAGCCATGCAGCGGAGCGCCGTCTCCATCTCCTGATTCATCCTCTTGGACTGGCCGTTGGATTGGAGATGAAACCTAGAGAACAGACTGGTGGAGGCTCCCAGGAGGCGGCAGAATTCTCTCCAGAATGCAGAGGTGAACTGGGGGCCTCGGTCGGAGACCACGTCGGACAGGAGGCCGTGGAGCCGGAACACGTGCTGCAAGACCAGCTCAGCAGTCTCCTTGGCCGAAGGGAGCTTGGGCAGGGGCACGAAATGAGCCATCTTGGTGAACCGGTCTACTACTGTCAGAATGGTGGTGTAGACTCCTGACAGCGGCAGTCTGGTGACGAAGTCTAATGAGATGTGGGACCAGGGTCGATGAGGCACAGGCAGAGAGTGCAGGTGACCGGCAGGGGCACGTCGCGGGGTCTTGTTCTGGTTACAGACTGGGCACGCGTTAACAAAGTCTCTGGTGTCATCATCCAAGGTGGCCCACCAGAACCGCCATTGCAGAACCTCCTTGGTTCGATGAATTCCAGGATGACAGGTGAGTCGGGAACCGTGGGCCCACTGTAGAACCTCAGACCTCAACTCCTGAGGGACGAATAGGCGGTCTTGGGGGCAGGAGCTGGGCCCCGGCTGGTCCTCCAAAGCAGCTCTTACCCGCTTCTCCACCTCCCAGGTGGGAGCGGCCACCAGACGGGAAGCGGGGAGGATGTTGTCTGGACTGGAGGGGCCCTCTTCCCCGACCATGAACTGTCGGGACAGGGCGTCAGGTTTAACGTTGCGGGAGCCTGGCCGGTAGGAGAGGGTGAAGCTGAATCTGGCGAAGAACAGAGCCCACCGGGCCTGACGAGAGTTCAGTCTTTTGGCCGAGCGGATGTACTCCAGGTTCTTGTGATCGGTCCAGACGAGGAAGGGGGTCTTGGTTCCCTCCAACCAATGGCGCCTGGAGAAGAAAGCGCAGGAGTGTAGTTTCTGGTCCTCGGCAGAACGCTGGGAGAGGACGGCCCCCACCCCCACATCAGAAGCGTCAACCTCCACTACGAACTGTCTCTCGGGGTCAGGGATCAGGAGAATGGGGGCTGAGCTGAATCACCCCTTCAGGTGCTGGAACGTCTCCTCGGCGGCCGAAGTCCATCGAAAGGGGACCTTGGAGGAGGTGAGGGCGGTGAGAGGTGCTGCCACCGTGCTGTAGCCCCGGATGAACCTCCTTTAGAAGTTGGCGAACCCCAGGAAGCTTTGCAACTGCTTGCGAGAGTCAGGGACAGGCCAGGAGGTGACGGCTGAGACCTTAGCGGGGTCCATCTCCATGCGGTCCTGGCCGATGATGTACCCCAGGAAGGAGACAGAGGTGGCGTGGAACTCGCACTTCTCAGCCTTGACGAACAGGGAGTTCTCCAGTAGGCGTTGTAGCACCAGCTGGACGTGATGTATGTGTTCTTGCTTGGACCGGGAGAAGATCAGGATATTGTCTAAGTAGACGAACACAAACTTGTTGATCATGTCCCTTAGTACGTCATTGATGAGGGCTTGGAACACAGCAGGGGCATTGGTGAGGCCGAAAGGCATCACCAGGTATTCATAGTGTCCTGTGGGGGTGTTGAAGGCTGTCTTCCACTCATCCCCCTCTCGGATCCGAACCAGATGATAGGCGTTGCGGAGGTCCAACTTAGTGAAGATGGTGGCCCCTTGGAGCAGCTCGAAAGCTAAGGCGATGAGGGGGAGAGGATAGCGGTTCTTTACTGTGATGTCGTTCAGCTCTCTGTAGTCGATGCAGGGCCTCAGGGAACCATCCTTCTTGTCGACGAAGAAGAACCCCGCCCCAGCAGGTGACGAGGAGGGTCGGATGATCCCGGCGGCCAGGGCGTCGTTTATGTAGGTCTCCATGGCTTCCCTTTCAGGTGCGGACAGTGATTAGAGGCGACCCTTGGGGGGAACAGAGCCGGGAAGGAGGTCGATGGCACAGTCGTAGGGCCGATGAGGGGGCTGAGAGGTGGCCCTCGCCTTGCTGAACACCTCCCGGAAATCGTGGTAGTCGGGGGGCACCATGGAGAGGTCTGGGGTGGAACAGGAGCTGGCAGGCGGCGTGGGTGCAACTGCCGGTCTGTGGCAGATCTGTTGACAGGAGGGGCTCCATCCCAGGATGGACCCCGTGGACCAGTCTATGTGGGGGTTATGACGGCGAAGCCAGGGGTAGCCGAGGATCAGAGGAAGGTTGGGAGACCTCAGAATATGAAACCTGATGGTATCATGGTGTGTGCCGGACAGGAGCATCGAGATGGGGGTGGTTTGATGAGTGACGGTCCCCAGAAGATGACCATCCAGAGCACTGGCCGGCATGGGACAAGGGAGAGGAACTTGACCAATGTCCAGCTGACGGGCGAGTTCCTTGTCGATCAGGTTGACATCTGCCCCCGAGTCGATGAAGGTGGCGAGGGTGTGGGACCCCCCTGCCAGCA